GGGCCCATTAGGGGAAATAGAGGTAAAACCTTTATAATCCTTCTTCTACCATAGGGATTAAGGGATATTATCCTAATTTAATCTGGAGCATCCTTGGGTCAAGGGGACTCAATTTTGTATAATTGGTGGGTATGACCCCCTTAGGGCATAGGGTGGGGCTCTGTTTGAAGTTTGTTCTTGCTATATCTCAAGTACAAGATGGATCTTTCTGAAATTTCATATGTACTTACAGCACCTACCATGGAGTACTATATCTTAACTTCATACCAATTATTTTAAACAGATATTCAGGTGAGCGATACAGGCCCTCTGGGCCTCTTGTTCTATAAATATATACAATATATACATCGATTGTTACCTTGATTTGTAAACAAGTGGTTTTTCATCACTGTCGATGACTGATACTATTTTTCAGTCCGAGTTCTAAGGAGCCAGAACCTCCAGCTGAAGAAGAGTCCTGGAGCAGCGTTCCCAGTGGAGTGAAACACCTCACTGATGACAACTTCTCATCAGCTATGGCCAAACTGGACACAGCTCTAGTAATGTTTTATGCTCCGTGGTGTGGCCACTGTAAAAAAGCCAAGCCAGCATACCAGGCGGCAGCTGACCAGTTAGAGAAAGTAGACAAGTCTCGTGGTTTATGTGCAGTTGACTGCACTGTAGCCCATGGTGAGAACAACTATTTGTTTTTAAATGCCTACAGTGAATGAGTGTTATAAGGAATATATCTTGTAATACTTATTTCAGGGGAAATAATGTTACAGAACTTTATGAAAATACAGTTGAACCTCGTTATCTCAAACTCTTTTAACTCGAAGACCCCGTTTATCTCGAAGTATTTCTCCGGTCCCGGCCAAATCTCTTCTTTATCTTAGTAAATAAAACACTGATAATTTGAACTCTGAAAAGTAGAAAACTTGCATACCTCGAAGTAAGATATTGGTTTCAGTAGCGTAAATCCAAAATCAAAACATGTCTACTTCATAGTGTTTGAATTTCGTTTTGTCACTTATCAATTCTTTGATACAAATAAAATGCAAAAGTATGACAGCTCGCCATTCCGTGTTTATGAACATCTTTCGTGAGAAGACTAGCATGAAACATGGTATTAAAGAATTTACAATAAAGCTTTAGACCGTAAAGTGTGCGGACTGTCAAAACCATGTTGTCCACATAAAAAACAAACTTCATCAATGTTGATCAACAGTATTCTATACTTGCTGAGAGTCTGTATAATGATTTGCACACCCAAACCGGGAAATTGGGCATGAAGCGTGGTCATGCATAAAAGAGTTCCACAGTTAAAATCACAACCTAGGACAGCTCCCCAGGTTCATGTTTTTACAGGAGCCAGTATTGCTTTGAAAGTCGATCGAGAGATTTAAGAACAATACGATAATTGCTGTTTTCGATTACATCGAGTTGAGGAGGTGTCAGGTGTCACATTTGGCTTTAATGAATCAACGTGTTACATGTAGGATATAATCTGTTTGTGTGTGTTTTCATTAACAGAATAATTAACTTTGCATATGCTCCATTACAGTGATTTAATTTAGACTTTTGCACTTTCATTTCCGCATTGTATAGTAAGAGGACAGAGACAGCGGGATAGTTCAATTTTAAAATGTAACACTTAAGAAGTAAAATGTGATGGACTTGCAAATATAAATGCAGACCTGGAAAGACTGCCAAGATCTAGACTAGCCAAAAACAACATTTAATCACTAAGCCCGTCCATATTCAATAGCGAATTCATAATGGTCCAACAGTTTTGATCGTGTTAAATGAAAGTACGTTAAAATAACATACCTTTATTTGTTATATTGATTACGTTTATCATACATTGATTGATTATCAGCATTGGCTATTACTAAAATCAACAACTGCTAGTGCTATGTCCAAACAGCAAATTTCATACCAAATTTATGAACCCGCATAACTCGAAAACTCGGATAACTCAAAGTTTTCCCACGATCCCGTCGACTGAGATAACGAGGCTCGACTGTATTGTCCCTTTACTTATATGTGTTTGTCCTCAGAAAAATCAAGAGCCTTTACATTGTAAATTCAAATACATATCAAGCACTCTAGGTGATACGTAAAGTGGTTGTGCATCTTTTATCCAGCATGGAGAGATGTGGTTACTCTTACTATAGTAATCACTTTGTCCATTTACAATTTAATTCTGTTCCTGAAAGCTTCTAAATGTCTCGTTGCTGTCAACTACACATGGGTGAACTATGCATGGGTTACACATGGGTGAACTACACATGGGTTACACATGGGTGAACTACACATGGGTGTTGCAGGAAAACCATGGTTGTACTTGAGGTATATAACCAATTAGCTAGCTAGGTCACTGTTTACAAAAATAGATAAAACAAATATCCTTTATTACATAGAATTTTACTTGGTTGAATATCCTTGAAATGAATATCCTATTCATTTTAGGCATGTATGAAATCAAGGTCAGGATTACTACATGTTAAAATAAAAAAGACATAATACACTGTGTATAAAAGCATGACATTTCTTGTCTGGGCTATAACTTGAAGTCTGATCAAGTTGTACTAGTCGGATTGCTTTCTATCGTTGAATACGTTCATCAGATGCCTGGTAGGCTCATGCTGAATTAGGTGATGGGCAGATTCTATATACTAAGTATATTTAACAAGACTGCAGCACTCTTTATGACCCCACCCCTGCCCAGATACATTGCCATTCATGTCACTTGCAAGGCCCTTGCTAACCTTGGTCACTGTTCAAGCTGATTTTATTGTGACACAACCAGATGTATATCAATAACATCTGTAGTTTTGAAGATACTTAAGTGTACTCAGAAATTATAGTGTACTGTCAGTGTACCCAAAACAGGACAAGCCGACCAAGAAATTGGCATGCAAATCAACAAATTCATTTTTGTGTATGCCATTTTCACAACTTGATTCTTTAAAGTTAGTTTCTCTGTATATCAGCTTTATTGGTTTCTGATTATTGTTACATGGACAGTTTTAGGTTAGAAATCATTTCAAAAGCATAACTTTCTTAATTTATGGGCTGTGCAACGCAATCCATCTGCATTTGGATATTATTTTCAGAAACATATTTTTTTTAAACTGATATTAGTTTTAAAAAGAAATTGAATCAGGAAACTTCTTTGAGTCTAAAATATTTGGCATGTGTAATCAATTTTCCACTTATATTTATAGCTTTTCCCCCAATATTGGCAACAATTCCTAAAGTGTTTCTTTCAGGGAACGGAAACACCTGGTAAAGAACCTATGTGACCCTTATAGTATTTTGTGCTTTATTTATTATTTGCTGGAAATATCAACTTGTACGGGAAAAGAAAGGACATTTTTGAAATTGACACTGTAGTGTAAAATACACCAATATTTAACTTTGAAAAGTATCTTGTTCTGAATATACAATCTACGCTTCAACATCTAAATCATTTTTCCATCAAAGCTCACTAGAGTTTGTATTACAATGGTCAGTTGAAGAAAGGGACTAAAATTATGACATGTTTATTTTGTTTTTCTACTTTCAGATACCTGCGAGAAAGAAAAAGTAGAGGGCTTTCCTACGTTTAAGTTGTATGTAAAGGGTGAATACCTCATAGAGTATAACGGTGGGCGAGCTGAAGAAGAATTCCTCAAATATATTCTCAATGCACCATCTGCTAATAGTAAAGATGAATTATAACATATATGAAATCCAATTTAAAAATATATTTATATGCAAAGATATATAATAAAGTTTTATAATGTGTTTATTCTTCTTTGGTTTTGATTTTCGATGTTATTTGGTTTTGGTTTTCCTACGTCCCAGGATCATTCTGACTGATTAAACTGCCAAACTCCAACCATAAGAAAAAATTGTATCTGTTATTTGAGAAATATTCAACATTTTGTGAATTTACAATAGGTAGGCATATACCAGTTTGTCAAATTACATTTTGATATATTACTGAAAACTAAGTATACTCTCCAAATTAAGTCTACATTGTATTTGCAGGGTCTCTTCAAACACGTCATGTAAATACCACCCTTTATTTGTTCAATTACATGTTGTGTGTGTGTATGTGCACAATGCTTGCTTAGTGATTGTAAACCTTGGTTTTTGTTTCACAATTATAACTATTACTATTATTCATATGTTGTAAAGCATAAAGGGTGGGGGTGGGGGGAGTGTCAAATACTTCAAATGACTTCTTTTGAAGAACTGAAAGGTATAGAATCTTAATATGTGGCTGGTGGCTTCTTGGGATAGAGCCCAACAAAATTTGCGAATGAAAATGACCTTGGCCTACTTTCTAGGTCACAGGGGTCAAATATGTCAAACACGTCATACAACTTCTTATGAAAAACTTAAAGGTAAAGAATCATAATAAATATGTGACTGATAGCTTTTTAGGATAGTGCCTGACAAAGTTTGAGAATGAAAATGACCTTGACCTATTATCAAGGGTCACAGGGGTCAAAAATGTTAAAATTAAAATGACTTTTTCTGAAGAATTGATAGGTATAGAATTATTCAATTTGGCTGGTAGCTTCCAGACATGAAGCCTGACAAAGTTTGCGAGTTAAATTGACCTTAACCTATTTTCAAGGTCACAGGGGTCAAATATGTCCAACATTTCAAATGACTTCTTTTAATAATCTAAAAGCATAAAATTATAATATTTGGCTGGTAACTGTCATAGATGTAGCCCGACAAAGTTACTTTCAAGGTCACAGGGGTCAAATATAGTAAACAAGAGGCCCAGTATCGCTCACCTGAATCTCATTAAATTGTATATTGCACTACAAATATATCTCTCGCAAACTTTGTCGCCTCCATCTGTTGAAACTACTAGCCAAATATTATTAAAAGATTCTATGCTTTTTGGTTCTTCTTCAGAAGTTGTTTGACATATTTTTACCTGCGACCTTGTAAGTAGGTCAATGTAATTTTCCTTCCCAAACTTTGTTAGCTCTATCCCAAGGCGCTACCAGCCAAATCTTATGAATCCATTTCCTTGGTTCTTCAGAACAAATCCTTTGAAATGTTGTTGACCTCTGTGACCTTTAAAGTAGGTCATGGTCATTTTCATTCTAAAACTTTGTCGTACTCTATCTCAGGAAGCCAACAGCCAAATATGAAGGTTCTATGCCTTTTAGTTCTTCAGAAGAAGTCGTTTAAAGAGTTTGACATATTTGACCGCTGTGACCTTGAAAGTAGGTCAAAGTCATTTTCATTTTCAAACTTTGTTGGGCTATATATCAGGAAGCCATCAGCCAAATATGAAGATTCCATACTTTTTAGTTATTCAGAAGAAGTTGTTTGAAGCGTTTGACATATTGTTATTTCTCGACTAGCCGACTTTAAATTAGTTTATCTTATCTCATTCTGAAAGCAGAGTTCTGAACCAGTTAATATCAGAGATCAACAAAAGCAGGGGGATAGCTAGCCCTCTTTTCGTGTGGATTCAACAATGCTGCAATCTGGTGCATTCTGGGCGTTCTGAGGTGCTTTAATTAGTACTGGAAAATGGACAGTTTTAGGATCATAAGTAAGTAAATAAACCCTTTACTCTGCAGATTTGTTTCTCTAAAATAGAGCTAAAATAGCAAACAAATACAAGCCCCATTATGTTAATAATACTCGGATTGTCTAATAGAAGTCCAATTTTCTGTCCTTTTTGCCAGCGAACTGTATTATGTCCATATGTCTGTAACTCTGCAACATTGCTCGTCCAGACAGTCGTTCAGTGGGCATAGTGGGTCGTGTAGTTTTTCACCCTACTCATGATACTGAACTGCCTCTCATCTGAGGCTGTTGAGACCGACATGGTAATAAGCACTACCAGACATGTAAATGTTTTGTTTGTGTCTTTTAAAGTTGCACTAAGGTCAGAAGGCTTTGTTTATTCCAAAGACCACCTTACTCTCCAGCGGGCAACTTTACGTCTGAAGCTTTCACAATATCCACTGAAGTCGTCATGAAATGCATCAAATATGGCATCTTCTTGAGCAGGTGTCAGTTCATGGACAAGACTTGGTATCAGGTACTGTGCTTTGAACCTGTCGTTGGCGATTACAAGGCGATCTTCCAGTTCTACAACCAGATGGTCAACGAACGGATAATATAGTGCCATTTTCCAATATTCTGAGACGGAATCGGCGGGAACGTTGCCACTGTGGCGTCGGTGTCGAGCTGTTCTTGGCTTTGAAGGTTCTTATTCCTGCACTTCGGCCATGATCACTGTTTGCCGTCCAGCTCATACCACACAGCGTCGTCCGCTCTCTCGGCACGAAATGTTACTATCAGAACTTGGCTCTTCCTGGCTGCCTCAAATAAGTCGATGTTTTGCTTCTGTAAAGGTTTATTCAGCGTCATAACACCCTGAAGCACGAACTCAACAACAACTAGAGAGACAATAAAGTCGAACCCAAGAATGCAACACCTATAGCTGCTTGCCTTTGAGTCTCCTTCTAGCTCTAGCACCTCGAGGGCATGTACTATAGTGGTGTATGCCGCTTTAACGGTGTAGAGCGGATCCGTTGGGCTATCTGTTACTTAATTTTTGGTAACTTGAGGAAACTGGTTAATGCTGTTTGAGTAAGATGGCTAGGATGGGCTGAAATGAGGTAAATTCACATGCATCGTGATGAAGACTCGGTCCTGAACGAATATAAACTACCAAATCCTTTCTTCTAGCAACATGGTCATTTCCCAGCTCTTCCTGAAATGCAAATAGAGGTTTTGCAAAATACTTGAATGAAAACACGATTTGCTGATGAACAAGATGCAGAGGACGAAACGGATGTAAGGCACATTTTTGACGAGGAAAGTTGGCAAGAAGGTGGTAGAAGGCCGTCTACTTTCACTTTAGTCAGTCGCGCTGGCATAAATGAGAATGTTTTGCCTGTACCCGAAGAAAACACTCTTAAGTTATCTCGAGTATTTTGAGAGTATTGTTTCGGATACAATTGTAAGTAAAGTTGTAGATGAAACCAACAACTATTCTACAAATTACTTGCAGACTCATCAAAACTTGCCTCCTTTTTCTAGACTTGAAAACTGGACAAATACATCCGTCCCAGAAATGAAATCATTCCTTGGAATTACCATAGCAATGGGTATTGTGAGACAACTGGATATCCAAGATTACTGGTCTACAAATGTTGTAATCAGTACACCATTTTTCAATACCATTATGTCTAGAGACAGATTTCTTGCACTGATGAGCTTTCTACACTTGTCTGATAAAAACATTGCAGTACTAAGGGGACAACCAGGTTATTCCCCTTGACAGAAGCTGGGGGATCCCTACAAGGACATTTTAGCAAATTTTCAGAGAGTTTATACTCCTGGTAAGAACATTGCCATTGATGAAGGGATGATTCTATGGAGGGGAAATCTGCATTTTCGTGTATACAGTCCTGACAAACCTTGTAAATATGGCCTTAAAATGTATATGCTTTGCGACTCTGCAAATGGATATTGTAGTAGAATGGAGCTGTATACAGGCCGTGATGGTCAGCAGGAGCCACCCAGTCAATTTGGGGCTACATATGACTTGGTGTTGCGTCTTGTTTCTCCATACTTGAACAAAGGATACCATCTTTATATGGACAATTACTTCAGCAGCCCTCAACTGTTTTATGAGTTATACCTGCAAGCAACAGTAGCATGTGGCACAGTCAGGTCAAACAGACGAGGAATCCCACAAAAATTGAAGAGTCAACGCCTAACAAAGGGGGAAATATTTGTTGTCCACAACTCCACCCTCGTTGCTGTGAAGTATGCAGACAAAAAAGATGTCATTTTACTGACCACTATACATGAAGGTACCACACCATTCTGTGATAAAAAGTTTCTGATTATTGTCTAATATCCTCAAGAAATATACTTAGTATTTGGTTAATGAATGTATTCAATGGATGATTATATATATATATATCAATATCGGATATCTTAAACCAGATGATCTTTAGAAATAATAATATAGATATATATTTGTCCAGTTCAGCACTGAGAGTGAACACGAATATATATACGTAACATATATTTGCACGAGACAAAATCTTTCATTGATTTTAAACATAAACAGACACTTAAATTCTGAAATGTTGTCATTATGGTTCTGTTGCAAATATTTTGCAAAAAGTAAATTCTAAAAACAGTCAGTAAAATTCCTTTATTTGATATTACTGTAGTGTTTTGCTGAATTTAGTTAATTTTCCTAGCTAAGCATATAAGATGAACATTAACAGCTACTTTTCATTGTCGAACGTGACTGAACATTAACAGCTACTTTTCATTGTCGAACGTGACTAAACATTAACAGCTACTTTTCATTATTGAATTTGACCGAATGAATACTAATTACAATTTTAATCTACTGATTTATTATATTACATTCTATGAAATGTTTCTGTGAAAGCATATCCAGCTCAGGATATCTCTAGAGGTTTTCATTGAAAAATAGTGTTCAGAAAAAATCATATAAGGCTTCGATACATTTCTATGTCCATCCAGGTGTGAAAGTAGACCCTGGCCGGCTTGACCAAGATGGTTCCAATATCGTCAAACCAGACGGTGTACTTAGTTATAACAGGTATATGGGAGCGGTGGATCGATGTGATCAAATGGTTGCAAATGGGAGCTTTGACCGACGGACATTGAAATGGTGGAAAAAAGTTTGTTTCCATATGATTGGTCTTGCTGTCCTGAACTCGTACATATTGTACAAGAGTAGGACTCGACACCCAGTGCACCAAAGTATATTCAGGAGGGAGCTAGTCAATCAGCTGATGGAAGTCTCTGAGCTTTCTGGTGCTGCTCCCAGAGGCAGAAAGCGAACCTCAGCCGAGATATTGCAGCGTTTGACTGCCAGACATTTTATGTCTCACCTGCCACCAACTGACAAGAGAAGCCATGGGAAACGACGGTGTGTTGTATGTGGGCCTGGTGAGTTGGAACTCTTCAAGTCTTCTCATCCACATGATCCCCAGGGGTAATAGACACAACATATCCTATGCCTATATTCTAATATGTAATTAGTATTAGAATATAGGCATAGGATATGTTGTGTCTATTACCTGTGCATGAACCAGTACCTAAATGTATGGGACGCGAGACCACTTTCCAGTGCAAGCAGTGTCAAGTGGCTTTATGCATAGAACCCTGTTTTGAACTTTTCCATACGAAGTCCCAGTATGTTTTGGCATATAAACGACAGAAAACTGCGACCACCCAGTCTGGGCAGGAGGAATAGTGTCAACATCAGCTCATGTCCTCAAAATACAAATGGAAATCAATGTACATAGCTCAAATATATATGAACAAGTTGAAATAGAGACTTTTTTTAGTTTTTAACTGATGAAGTTATTCCAAATTGATGAAAACTTGAGATCCAATTGTCAATGTAATATAAGGTAAGTGTGCTATGTAATTGGTTGTTGGTTGCCTAGCAACTATTTGTCTTGTACCATAGCATCATGCTTTCCATACAGTACAGTTCTTTGAACTGAAATAGCATGATGCCATTGTGATCATGGTTCTATGCAGAAAAGAAATATCATCACTTAAAACTGACTAAAAACAATAATACAAGCCTGGTCACCAAACTGTTGTTCACAACTACTGTACTTCATAACACCTTATGTAAAGTAATATGGTTCAGCTCAAAGTAGCTGAAATGACTACTTTAAGCAAGTATATCAGTATTAATTAATATATATATGATATATATACAAATCTGGGAAATATACAGTATCCCAAAACAAAAAAGATAAAATAATAAATTATTCATAAATTTTCTTCGCGAAATATCAACATTTTATACCTTCAACTTAGAGGTTTGAAATAAAAAAAACAAAACGATAAGGCCATAATAAATTAATCGCTAGATTCTCATCAAAATTCTTTTCAAAATTGGGGCGGGGGGGCGAATTTTATTTTTTATTTTTTATTTTTCCTAAAATTTGAAATGGTTGCAAATGTGTTAAAATAGTGCAATAAAGGCGCATGTTCAGTGTACATTTATCTTTATTTTTTGTTAATAACAACTTTGAGTATGCAGTATACACATTGAACACCATTTCACTGTTCAGTCCACATATATATCTGTACTAACTTTTGGTATGAATACACACCACATTACTTTTTCACATATCGTCCTCTTTTAATTACAGTGACCTTGNGTGACCTTGTCATTGTTGCTTTAGAAAATCCCGACATTAAAATTGTAAATGCGTCGGATTTCGCACTGGCAGTTGCCGACTGCTCTTCTGTATCAGCATCAATATTAAATTCTAAATAAGCTCCGAGGTACGACACCACTTCCCCCACCGTACATGCGCCATCACACTGGGTCAGTTCCACTTTCGATTTACCGGCCGACACAACGGCCCTGTTACCACACTCGACGGGCGCAGATTTGTCAATTGTTCCTTCGGCTAATTCATGAAAGACTTGCATTAATGTTTTAGTATCGGCTACTGAACACCCATACCAATCTTTAAGAACGGCAAGTTGCCGTTTCAGCTTTAGAATTACAAAAACCATACTTGCAGACGACGAGTTTTCTACAACCGGAAATTGATAATATAAAACTAATTTTTGAAGCGGAAAACGGAAAAAAAATCCGGATATCGTATTTTCGTTTTTTTTTCGCAAATAAAAAAAATTGGGGCGGGGCCTCAAAGAGGGGGCGGGCGGGGATGAGAATCTAGCAAATAATTTATTATGGCCTAAGAGATAATGAGTGGAAATGATAAAAATGACTTAATATGATTCCTTAAGAACATTTTCAAGCATTTTGAAAAAAGAAAAAAAAGAAAAAAAAGTGAAACAATTCAGCATTGGGAGATGACTGATTCTGGGACAATTCAGCACTACAAGGGTTAACACATGTCGATTTATGGCAACAGTGTCTGCGTGGCTCTTAGATAACTGTGCTTAATATCCCAGCTCTATTTCTGAGGATTTTTAATGCGGAGAGGGGTCCTCGAGGGCTATTTAGTAAAGAAACGGCAAGGAACGTTGATATGAGCATGTAGCCAAGTAGGCATAATGCAACTTTGGTTGAATGTTTTTATTTTTTGTCAGATTCATGTCAGTGGATTCAGTCGCGTACTCGCGTATACGCAGCTACGCGCCTGACAAGCTATACGCTCTTTTAAGGCTTTGCCTTTTCATATTATAAGTTACTATAGGTGTATTGACAGACGAGGCTAACGTTAGTGCAGGCAAATTCGTCACATTAGTAATTAAGGGTTTCACTTAGTAATTCGTCCAAATACGCATACTATAAGGAGACGGATTTACATAAGTACTATGTACTTGTTTCTGGATCCTTTTCTGTATTTATAACCATGTACTATTGTAATTAAACATCAATAAAATAAAGTTTAAACTAAATACGCATACTACAGAAGATTTTACTGAAATTCCTATAAATAAACATTGTTGTGCAAACGCCTGAATGAAGCAGCATTATTTGTGACGTCATCAGGCCTTCCGTGCTTTTGCTCAAAGGTGCAGGCAGTTTCGACACCTTCAAACATTTCACTAATTTGCATGTAATGTAAGTGTTTAAATGCATGTTTTTGTATGTTTATATTACACAAGTCGTACTGATAAGGACAGCTTCAAATGTGTGGGTGTAACAATGATTAACATTGAAATAAATGTCTTTTCTTAGTTTCTAACTGTTAATTAATTTTCGGTAACTTGAGGAACTGGTTGATGCTGTTTGAGTAAGATGGAGCCCTATGATGGGCTGAAATGAGGTGAATTCACAAGCATCGTAATTAAGACTCAGTCCTGAACGAATATAAACTACCAAACCGCTAAGAAATTCCCAACATTTAAGACAACCAAACTTTAGGCTTGAAACAATGCGCAATTCTTTTTTCCCATCAACTACAAAAATGTGGAATGACCTAGATATATCTATAAGGAATTCGGCTTCTCTCAGTTCATTTAAATCAAATATAAAATCAAAAGGTAAACCACAAAATAAATGCTTTCTGGTATGGGGTTCCCGTAAATCAAATATACTTCATTGCCGTTTGAGAAATCGTGCGAGCTCCCTTAACTATGACCTATTTAGAGCAAATTTATCAAATACAGCTGAATGTGCATGCGGTAATCCATGTGAAGACTCTTATCACTTCCTTTGTGTCTGTCCCTTATACACCCAGCATCGTAATCTATTAATAAGAGAGCTTCAACCTGTTCGTGATGATTTAACTTTAGACTTGCTCCTATATGGCGATCCTAAATTCAGCATTAATGTAAATACCTCAATTGCAAAATCTGTCCAAAATTATATCAGCAAATGCAACAGGTTTGACTGAATGTGATCATCTTTCTCTCTCTATCACTCTTTTTTTTCTCCGACTCTACCTGTGTTACTATCATTTACTTCATTACTCTATCCGTCTTTTCTTCCACTCTATTTTTCATCTACTCTATCTGTGTTACTATCCTTTACTTCGTTTCGCTCTCCTTCTTTTCTTCGTCTCTATTTTCCATTTCCATATAAAAACATAATTAATGTATATTGCGTAAATTACCTTATCAAGTTATTGTTTATACTCATGTATTTGAAGAAAAGGACTTTGATAAGTTGGTAAAACTTGTGTCCAATTCTTTTGTAAATATTTATTTGCAATAAAATATGTTTAAA